ATCAAGTGATATTCTAAGTCTGCCAGGAAAACATAATAGCTTGATTTATTTGAAAAAGGAGTTTACTTTTGGGACAGCATAATAATAAATAAGGGTGTCCCAAAATATTAGCTGTTTTTTTGTCAAGTTTTTTTTCAATTTTGATTTTTACTACAGTAAGTCACACTCTCAATTCTAATTTAGATGCAGGGTACCATTCGACAGAGTAACGCAAGCTCTTCCAAACCCGCTCACGTATATACATTCCACACAACACATTCATATTGTGCTTGTTTCTGTGCTGAAAAATAAGAAAACTAAATTTTCAAGCTCCCAAAAAACGATGCTTCGCTGTATTATACAGATAAACACTACAGGCCCACAGTAATACATCTCTAAATTTTCAGCTTTCTGGAAGCGCTAGTTCTTGAAAAATACTGAAATTACAGGCCCCGTAAAATCCAATTGCCCACGAATCGCTTTGAACACCAAGGCGCGGCGCGGCTGGGAACGTTTGGTCCCGAAGCGCTACAGGCTTTTTGCGAGCGACAATGAGCGCGCACCCTTTCCACACATATTTTTTTAAACTGAAGGGAGCTTTCGTCAAGATATACCTTGCATTGACGAGAACAGCATGAAAACTAAAGAAAGATTTCCTGGAATATAGTGAACGCCGACAGTCGTTCGCGGCGACCGCTCGCTTACGCTGGTGTTTAAGGCACGACGCGGGCAATTACGTTTTACGGCGCCTATAGCTTTTTGCTTTTTGCTGTTTTATGTTGAAATTAATATTTCTTGACAACTAGAGCTTATGGAAGGCTCTGCAATTGTACTCACAAAGGCATGTAGTATACATTTACCCGTGTGAAAGCAGCGCAGCATAGCTTTTTTTGAAGCTTGAAAATTTTAGTTTTCTCGGTTTCTAGCACAGAAACAAACACAGCAACGGCACATGCGAATGTTTTGTGTGGAGTGTATATGCGTGAGCGGGTTTGGGATTTGGTAAGTTTTCTTTGGACAAAGTTATAGTAATTTTTTAATTTTCGGAGGATCCAAAAGTTCTCAGATTTCGGCTTCCAACTCGTGATGCACTGAAGCTGGTACGAACACTTACAAGCCACCTTATAGAGTTTGCTTGGCTCTGTCGAACGGTACTCTGCATCTCAATCAGAGTTGACAAGTGCGTCACTTATTGTGATAAAAAGTCAAAATTGAAGTAACTTATGAGAAACCTAATAAAATGCAACTGTTTGATTTTTGACAACCCCTTGCTTCAACTTCATTTGTCGGCCTTCAAAGACCATGTTTCAAAGCTGGCTTGAATCTAGATAGTATGGAACGACTCCTCGACTTTTCTTCGTTATTGTAGAGTCACGGTAAGAACTTTAGAGAGTGTTTTAACCCGTGAAGTATCGCATTTTGCCTCAGAAAACCCAAACAAGCCCAACAATCACACTAAGCTAATCGAAGTCGCAGATTTCGAAGATGAAACTTGTACATTACGGTCATGCTTCTTTCACAAGTAATTTCAGAAACAGTTACACCTCCAAAAAGTTCAGAAATCTTGTAGTTGCTTACTAAAATCAGTACGCTTGAATTACACAATTTTGCAATTTATTGGAATTATTCATCAAAGGCCTCATTCACGATGGCGCTGTATGCTGAAAGCTCATACGGCAATCCTACAGTAACGAAGAAAGATCGGAGATCTGTGATTTGAGATCAAACAGTGTGCACATTATTTTGGGACACTTGTATACTTTAGGTTAGCCGAAAGTTTTGTCGCACCATTTTCAAAAGTGTTTTCTCACTCGTATTATTCCTAAGCAGCCACCAGGCTTAATAACTCACCCAAGGAAAGGTTCGTTATTTTTGGTGACTTTTTTGAAAGGGCTAAGGATAGGTATCACATCGTCTTTGGCAATACTTTGGAGAAGACGAGGAGCAGAACATAGGCATTGTAAAGCTGCTCCAAATGTTGAAAGGAAAGAGCCACCAAGCAAAACCCAAGAGCTAGGCCAAGACAGTTCGCCGACAATCATGGAGCCTCCCATAGACTGACCATTCCTGAATCGTGGACATTCAGCGCTTTATGTTCGAAAAAAGCATCAGCATCACTCACTTGTCTCTCAAGACACTACCATCAATAGCGGCTCCAAATACGAGAGCCAAAGAGAAGTATACGAAGGATGTGGTCAATTGAGCAGCAATCGTACCAGTAGGGATCGATCTCTGCGGATCCTTCAGATCACCTGTGACAACAAAATAGCTTCTCCGTGTGATAGGAGCAAATTACTAAGCACACAAGTAGCAGGCAGTACGATTAATGAGATTATGATGTACAGGCTGTCTCAATGTGTGTGTCAAAGCTCCACTGGTTTCGCGCGGCCGCTCTGCTCGGCTTTGCGCCACGTTCGTGGAGAAAAGTTTGAGCATTATCTCACGGCTCTTTAAGTCTGCCTCAAGCGTGGAAAAATGCTCTGAGAATACGTTCGCGGATGCGGCGCAAGAATTGAGCGAGGCGGTCGCAACGACCCGCGCCGCTGAAGCTTCGACACTCACAGTGAGGCAGTCTGTACTATCAGAACTGCGCTTTTATCAAATCAGTTCGAAGAAGTATTCAAAAAACCACAAAAAATAAGGAATAAACGAACCACTCATATTTGCACCAGTGAAGATTCCAGTGACTGCTGGGAAGTAGATGGCAAGAAGCAACCAAAATGATGTTTGCACATCCTCAAAACAAATCATATGTAACAAACTCGCTTCCTTTGGCGATGCTCACAACTAACCTGGAACACATCACGGTTCAAATCTGCTTTGTCTTCAACAGTGGTGTGGAATGCTCCTACGTAAGCGGAACCAAAATTATCTAAAACGTTGATATTTTGAGAAGAAAAGAAGAAAATTTATTTCATACATACCAACAAAAGCACTGCTTTTGAAACCGGGGAAGCCATTGATACATCTGATATTTGGGAAAGAGTCTAGTGAGCAATCTTCAGTCGGGCAAAGATTCTTGTACAAGAAAGGGTTGCTGAAAGAGATCCCCTCAGTAACATATTGGCAACTTTCACTTGAAGGAGATTTTGAAAGTTACAAAAAAGAAACAAGATAAGCCGATACCAGACTAAGAATCAAATTTCAAGCCAAACCTTATATTACAGTAATCACAGATATCATAAATAGTTCCATTGCCTTCCGGCATCAAAAATCTCGATTGCATTAAATGATCCCCGTACATGCACACCCTGAATTTTCAAATTATATTTTCATAAAAAACTGAAACGCCAGCGTACTTAAGTCCTGAATCTGGGCTCAATGTTTTCGCGATACCACCCGCGTAGCATGCAAGGATAGAGATGATTACACAGACCAGCGAAACCTAAGTAACAACACTTAATTAGGTGCATGACCGTGCAACAAAAAATAAAAGTAAATCAATTCACGCACGGGTGCAAGCATCTGTACAAATTTCACTCCCATAGCGACAATAAGGAATTCGAGAAGAAGAAGTACGGTTGAGTAGAAGCGAAGGTTGTGCGTCATCATGCCAAATAGTCCTATGAGATAAAATTTACAAATTTACCTTCTATATTAAAATTGAGCGGAACCAACCTGTTTGAGTGTGGACCTCTGTCCCACCGATGGTCAATCCAGGGAAGATATAAAGCTAAATAAACCGGTTAGGATAATTATAGAATTTTAGAATGTAACAAAAATCTTACCAATAAGATTTCCACACCACCCACTAAGTACATGGATGCAGCAACCGTATTTGCTAAGTAGAATAAAAACCCGACAGCTGATCCAAATTCCGGTCCGAGATTTCGTGAAATCATGAAGTATGCACCTCCACTTTCAACAACACCATTTGTTGCGACAGCGGATAAGGAGATGCATGTGAGGAATGTCTAAAAAACACTCATAATCCATTCCAAAAAATAAAAGATAAATTGCATATATCAAGTTTTTTTTTCGATTCATCGAAGTGAATATCAAAAACTTACACATAGACAACACAAAGATAGAAGAAGGAATGTCTGGCCAAGTCCTGCGATTCCAACGACCCAACCTAATCGGATAAACATTGTGACGCCGAGAATATGTTGAATTGTTGGTAGATAAACACCGAGCATTACTCCGAGATCCGCCTGAACCATGCAAGTAAGAAAAAGATAAGAAAACACCAAATGATAACTTTCCAACCTTTTTCTTTTGGTTCTCGCTTTGAGCTCGTTCGAGTGGGCCAGGCGTAGTGTGGGCTCTAAGATAACTGGCGAAAAACGGCATCGACGGCTCTTCGAAGAGAGCCAAGTTGTGGTTACCGGCATCTTTGCCACCCCAGGAGAAAAGTTCTCCTAAAAAAAGTAAAGTCTAATGAAAGGAAGAGAAAATGGGGAGACTGCAAAGATTCATTATGCAGCTGGGCTCTTTTGTATATGCAAAGATTTGCTGAAAGTCTCTTTAGACTGTATCTCTCCCTTGTCTCGTTCTCTATCTTGACTGTTTGCAAAGAACATTCTGGAGCCTCAGGTTTTTGGTGCAAAAATGAAAGCGGGAAACGTAATCTAGTTCTATCGGCGTAAATTACTCAAAAGCCTTCCAAGCTTTTTCAAAATACATCTGAATTTGCAGCTGCAACTGAAACGTAGAAAGTCTGCAGCGATTATTTCCAGCGCAGACGGGTGCAGCACAGCTGGTGTCTTGTCCACAGATCCAATATTGCGAGTGCCTCAATTTCTGTGCAATTTGGTAGCTCGTACAGCACAGATACAGTACTCAACATTTTTAAAACTTAAATATTGTAAAAATGCTCAATAAAGTGCCTATGATGTTGAAACGAATGCAAAAAAATGTAACACAACAGACTGAAGCTTTGATTGTCAAAACTGTCAGAACCAATATGTTATGGCGCATCCAAACCGATTCTATGCAAATTTGTTACGGCCCGACATTACAGAAAATCGTAAAATCGCATGAAAATTTTGTCTTTTTAGGAGCTTTTGCTAGTAAATGCTTTGTATCAAAAAATTCATTGGCATCGTGTTCAAGTCTACCAGCATATTTGAAGCAAAATATAAACTGAAAGCGCGGTTTTTGGCTAAAGCAAAGCGCATAAATCAATGCAGACAGCACACGATTTGCGTACATTGCGGCAACGCGGTTATTTCCTCAGTCGCAGGAACTGGGTAAGTATACAAACATGTGGAGTTTTTCTACAATCGTTCATGCCAGTTAGATGGCTTGTGAAAGAGTCTAGGGAAAGAGGACAACATAAATCTCGACAATGTCGGGCAAATCCTCAAAAATCTAACGAAAAAGTGAGAATAAAAATCTATCGAAAAAGTGAGAATAAAAGTGTAAAAATTATCAAAACATCAAAAGTAAAGTGGAACATACGATGACTACTGCTCCGTGAGAGTATTGAGTCATTGTGGGAAAGCGCATGTGACTCAACATTTAGTGTGAACCGTGAACCAGCCAAATTCCTTGATGAATTAGGAGGAGGGGCAGCCGCTGCTGTAGACGGCTGACAATCTTGATCGCCTAATAGCTCGTTGTCTTCGCTTTCGCTCATCGGGGGTCCGTTTCGACGTTTATCAGAATTATTCATTACAAAAATAAGTTAGTACCGCGTTCGCGGGGTTTCTAACAAACCCGTCTGAATGGAGAGATTTCTGCAATCCTCAATAAATACGAAGTAGAGATAATTAGGAGGAACAAGCTATAAAAGAACGTGAATGGAAGTCAGCTGAGAGGTGTAATTAGAAGCTAGCGAAGCGAACATTTTTCAAAAGCACAGGAAAGACGGCGCGCAGGCAATAGGAAATCTAAGAATGTTTATAAAATTAAAAAACGCTGCGTTCGTCGTTGCCAGGAAACGTTCAAGAAGAGCGTGTCAAACACTGCATTAAAATAATTGCGAAAGGCAGAAGGGACAGAAACTGTGACTCCAGATTAAGTGCACTGAGAGTGAAAGTTCTAGCCCACAAACGCCCTACGGCCATTAAAATATTTCTGCAAAAAAGAAACGATTTTGCATTTGCATAGAGGAAACTCGAAAATGACATTCCTACTTGAACAAAAAGAAGTAGAGATTCCCTTTCCGCCTTTACAAAGCACAATAAGCGTTCGTTTCAACAGCCGATAAGTGCGCTTTGCGTCAGTCGCCAGCCAGCCTAACCAATAAAGAGCTGACGTTCGGCCAAAAAACCAAAAAGCGCTGCTGTTCTTACACCTATAGGTTTGGATATTGCCAACAAACAGCTATGGATCAAAATTGCTTACAAAAAGACTGCATTCACTGCAAAAGCGCTAGGATTGTACATCAATACCAAGAGCTTGGAAAACATCGGAACAAAGGATGACGGGACGTATTGGTGCAAAACATACAAAACAGCAACCTGATATGTTCGCTGCGAGTGCTTGTTTCCAATAATACCACTCTCCTTAATACTGATCTAGTTGAAGCAAAGCAAATCATACCTCCCCGTCAAAATCGGAAGGTTTTTGTGCAGCCGCACAACATTGCAAGGATAAAAAGATTTTTAGACTACTAGGCGTCTTGCAATGAGTTTTTTATCTTTGTTGTTTCTACAGCGTCCATCACTTGAGAACAGCTGATTTCTAGAATGACGCAGCTCACACACATAGTTGATAACTTGACTATACAATTAGTTTAGTACAATTCATGGCAATAGCTTTGAAGAAGGTGGAGATAAAAAAGTAGGAACAAAGTATGAGAGTTGAAACGCGCTCCAAGTCCAAAATGAAGTTTGAATGATGATTCAAAAAATAGTTCATCTACACAAAATACCCTTTGATTTCCGGCAACTTTTTTTGACGGACATAGTCTCCTACTTTTCCCCGGGCTGTTCAAGGAAAACGACTACTGCTAACATCTACAGTGATGAGAAAGCAACCTGACTAAACCTGGATTCCTAAGGCCATACTTGATCCACTCAATCCGCTCGATCCGCTTCGTCATTGGTCAATCCAGTGAACTGATCAATAGTGAAGCTGATCAAGAGGATCAAGCGGATCAAGTGGACAACCGCTTCCGCTATTGGTCAGTTACCTAAATTGACTAATGACGAAGGGAATCAACTGGGGAACGAGTATGGTGCGTGTCCAACAAAGCTGTCCGAAGTTACGCGTGTACGTCGCGGTTTTTTTCCCAACGGGATTCGGAACGACTATATGTTTCATTTTCCCCATGTATAGAATCTGATTTTCTTATGTATCTAATCTATCTATCCATCTATCTATCTATCTTAATATACAAAGAAAGTAAGCGCAATTCAAAAATCTGCAAATACGGGGAAACGCGTCGGGGTCCCGAAGCGAACGCTCTTGCAAATAGCACCTTTAGCTGGTTCACTAGTCTTAGACTAGGTTCACTAGTCTAATATGTAAAGAATCGAACGGCAATTAAGGCTGCGTTCATGCTGATCCCGAAATCCGGGAAAACAGTTCCAGCACAATGCTCGAACTGACGCTATTTGATTTTTGAATTGCGCTTACGGCGGGAAACCGCGATGCGGTCTCGAAGCGCGCGGATGCAAATCTAGCACCTTTAATTACTGATTTGCTAATAGAAATGATTAAAACTACTTTCTAGACTATGCCTAGCGCGTAAAAACAAAAAGAAAGAGCATCATTAAGGTTTTTTTCTCGAAGAAAACAGGAAGAGTTTTCGATAAAATCACAGACATAGTGGGCGCTAAAGCAATTCCGCTAATGCAAGGGGATTGTGACGGACATAAAGCTAGAAAAGTGCGTATAAGTTGGAGGATATTCACTAGCAAGTCTATATATCTTCTACATAGAGCTGCCGCTTGAAATTTGTCTGCACTTTCAGCTACAAATAAGTCCAATTTGTAAGCCTGCCATCTTCTACTGCTTAGTTTCTGGGCGGAGTCGCGCGCGCGCATACAAAGCGCATGCAGCGCTGCGGCCGCGCGTCTTGAAGGTAATCAATAAATCTTCCGAGAAGAGCTTGCGCATAATAGGAAGGTAATGCGTGTTAATTGATTAGATTCAGATCAAACATGTTTATGGCTGATTGCAAACGAAAATAGCTTTACTTGGGCTGCTTACAATCGCGTCAGACGCATATAAGGGAAATAGTAATTGTATTTGCCGGGAAATGCTAGGCGAAGTGCGTCTGCACTGAGGGAAGGAGCAAATGGCTTGGCTCCGCAAAGCGGATAGCGTGGAGCAATGCGCTGGATCCCTCCCCATAAGAGCTGGAAGCACAAAGAACGGTCAGCGACAATGTATGTTTTCCACATTTTGGCTTAATTGGACTTCCTCAGATAATGAAATTTTATAGAAACCCGGAACTGCTCGTTAAGGAAGCAAGCACGGAAGTTTATTCATATTAAAACGGTGGCATATTAATGGCAGGTGAAAAGCAGCAGAGTTTACCCTAAAAGGAGAGAGCCTTGCATCTCATAAAGTATTGTCTCAAAGATTCATATTTTTCAGGTATAAAGCAAGAATGACTTTTCAATTTGGTAGATGGTCTGGATTTTCGGCGTCGGCACTTGCTCTGCAAAGATCCTTGTGATTTGCTTGGGACGAGTTTCCATGGCGCATCATCAGGTAAGAGACGCAGACAGACCCTTGCGAATAAGCGTGGAAATTATGGAGGTTGCGCGTACAATGCGGGAAATGCGCAATAACTGTGATTCGACAGATTTACAGGCAATAAAATTTGCTCTAGTTGCAAGCAAAAAAATCGACCGAATATGTAATGTAACGCGAATTCAAAAAACATCGGATAGCGGAAAACCGCGGCGCGGTCCCGAAGCGCGCGGATGCAATCTAGCACCTTTAATTACTGGTTCACTAGTATATAGGAAGTGTAGCTTAACATACTCAAAATCTAAAAATTTCTCAATATCATTTTCCTTTTTTATTTTTTTTTGTTTTGGTTTGAAAAATTGAAGAGGGCTAAGAATTCTAAAGTGCAGGTGTCGTTACCGTTACCTTTGCAAAGGGGTGCCAGGTTCTTTAAAACAGGTATGCAAATTGTAATTTTACACATGGAATTTTCTGTGCAAACCTCTCCAACACACAAAATATGAAGGGCCGAGAAAATAGAATCTAAAAATAGAATTTCATATTAGGCAGTGACAATGCGCAATATCTTTTTTGCGTCACATCTCATGCATTTCTAATCAGTCATGTCCTTTCGCCATTATATTCTCTCATCGAGCGCAAATATTGCTTGGCCATGAATGTAGTTTGCAAAGGAATGCAATAAGGCTAGCTTTCCCATCATCCTCGGAAAAAACGTCTATTCTATCGATTTGCCGTCGTCTCAGCTCTACAGAGGCTTTTAGTAAGAGCGCAATTTCGAAATGCATCTGCCATTGAGGCTGTGGGTAAAAGAATTTGTGTCTATAATCCGGGAGATAGGGGGAGCAACAATTGGTGCACTTTGGCGCGTTCGTACTTTTGCAGAAAGCTGAGAAGAGTCGGGCATTTCGGCGGAGTAAGAAAACTTCCCAGTGTTTTTAGAATCAGAGAAAGAAGTAGATCGCAAAGGATCCTTGACGATTTTTTTATCAGCAACGCTGTGGTAGTGAAGTAAAGTTACTTGAACTGCACCAAATGCGAGCTAATCAATAGTACGTATGGTTGAGTCAGAGACGCAGAAAATGCACACGTTGCGGCAGCGCGGTGTAACGCCACGAGTCGTGGCAGGAAAGCATGGCCGCAAATTCAAGCAAAATGCATGATTCCCTCAAGAAAAACGGATTTTTTGCTTGCATGTATCTCACACTTACAGAAACACAGGGCTGCAAGACTTCGTGATTTGCATATATGAATTATTTGTGCTCGTACATACATTCCTGCATATTTCATTTGCTGCAGTAGAAGCAAGGATTGATTGCAGGTTTTTGATGAATGAGGTAAATGAGCTGCAGCTTTTTCCCAAAAGAATGACCGCTTAAATCAGCTGATGGCTAGCTATTTCCCCTGCTGGCACGGAGACATTTGATAAATTTGCTTGGTTTTGTTATTTGGGAGGTCTGGATAACAGAAAGTGGGAAAGGAAGAAATAATTGAGAAAAGATACGGGAGTAACCAAAAGTCATTTTACTGGTGGTGGTCATGCATTTTGTAAGAGGAGGCTAGAATAGCTCAAAAAAAATCAGTATGGTTAGAATCCAATCTGAAAATCCAATGATTTCCTCATCAAATAAATTCGGTGAGAATCTGATTTTTTCAATGGAGAAATTAGTCCTTTCAGAGAAAATCATACGAAATTGTTGAGCAATGATCACAGTCGTCTGATTTATAACGAACGTATGGAGATGAGATATGAGGGCTATTAAGTTTAATGTTTCAAAATGAGCTTTTGTTGGGTTCAATTCCTAGAGCTTCCGTTGAAGGATTTATTGTCCTGGGAATGTAAACTGTCCCCTCAATTATCTTTGCGCATAAAAAGTTGGACAACTGATTCGATGATTTTAGAATTAGCCTACAATTACTAGGAAAATACGATTTTTTGAGAAGAAACTACAAAATTTTGTAGAAAGTGTAGCCACTACTATATGACTAGTCATTCGTGACACAACTTGATTAACCTCCCTTTTTGTCCCTTTTCTAGAAACTACTATTTATTTCCTTAGCGTGGGCTGAGAATTTGCAGATAAGTAGTTGGGTGACTCATTCTGAGGATAAAAAAAGCTTTTAACTACTCGATACGGACTTTCGTCATAGCTCAAGTTGCGAAAGGAAAGAATGGAAAGCTTTTTGTAGATAAAACCACAGCAACTATGCTTAGCTTAGACTATTTAAGTCTATGAATACCTCCGTAAGCTGCAAAACATTCTTATCAGTACCCACGTTTGCAAGAGGGATTATAAAAGTGAATGCTTTATGATGTCAAATGCGGCAATAAGTTATCGCAATGGCAATAGTATTAGCAGGAAAAGCTTTTGAGAAAGCTCATGAAAGCTCGTGAGGAATATTGATGTAGAATTGATTTTATTTTCTTTTTTACGAAAAAAAAAACGACACTAGTCATGAGAACATGTTTCTCACGGCTCTGATAAAAGTTGAATGAATCATGCGTTACCACTTCTAATGGAAAGGAGGAAAAAAGTGCACACCTTCGAAAGAAAATGCTTATACAATTTCAACAAGTTTTATGTTTTGTCTATAATAATTTCAAATTAAAAGTTATGAATTGATAAGATTACTAGATTTAAAGTCAATAAGATGCCCCGAAATTGATTAGGAATAAATTTTTATTGATCTAATGATAGAAGTTTTGTTACAGCAACCTCTTCTCAAAAGGAAATTTTTCAATGAATAAAGGAAGGACAAATAAGGTACTCGAGCTCTATAAAAACATTAAGCTGGTTGAAACGAATTTTCCTGAAAATCCTCAACTTTCCCTATGACGAATTCATTCACTGAAATTTTCGAAGAGATTCAAAATCAGTTTAGAATTTCAAAATGTTAAGACGTTCAGGGGAGTTCATACTCACCTAAAATAACTGAAAAGTTTTTGACTTTGATTACCTTTACCAATTCGAAAACTCTATGGGGCTTATCAAAATCAGTTTAGAATTTCAATAGAGCATGATGGATGACCAAATCATAACTGAAAGGAAAAGAACACAACTAGCTGCTAAGGAGGATTGAGTGTCGATGTAGAAGTGCTTACTCCTCAAGTTTCAACACCGATGTAAGAGACGATTGAGGTACTCTGAGGATGTCAACACAAAGTGCAAGATATTTAGATTGCTGATAGCTTGTTCTACAAAAATTTCTGCTTTTTTTCTATGATTTTCAAAAGCGCTCTTTTCAGGCAAAATCGGCTTCTTGGCGACTTTTCATGAGTTTCATTTTTGAGAGTGGAAAAATTATGATTTTGGACAGCATTTCATGCAAAATTTCAAACAAAATTTGAAACAACAGACGACAATTACTTTATTACTTTTATTACTTTAATGGATTCTTTCGAGATTTTTAGAAAAACGAGAGGTTCTGTTGAAGATCGAATGGCAAAGGAGTGGAGAAAATACGAATTCAAAAAATGTGGACTATCTCTCGAAATCAAACATGCGAGCGGTTTAGCTGGAATTGCTAAGTTTTGATGAAAAGTGCATTCTGAAATGCACTTGGAGAAGGAAGGAATTGAAAACACCTTTTCACCGAAGGAATTGAAAACAATTCCTTTTCACAGCCTTCTCACTAAACACCTGACTATTGAATTTCAATATTTTTGAGGAACATTGAAAGAAAAATTTTAGAGACAGGTAATTAGCAGGCAAAGAAAATCGGAACTTTTACATGGTTGGGAAATTTCTTAGCAAGAAAGAAGAATCTAATGCACTGGGAATGCACTTGAATAAGGAACTGAAAACGATTTCATTTTTTTCAACTTCCTTAAAAGTTCAATTTTATTGGTTATTCTTCAAGACGTGCTGAGCAGAAAAATTCCCTGAAGGGTAAATCCGCATCCAAGAAAAGTCGGCGTTCTTTTTTCTTGAATTTTATAAGAATATGACAAGTCAAAGTGGAAGCGGATGGCTTAGGTTTTTCACTTCGCCCGCGATTTTTCCAAAATTTCTCGAATCCAAAAGCTTTGCAAGAATCCATAACTAAAGCCTATAAACCAAACGCCATTCTCACGTGAAAGGCACACATAATCCCATTTTTCCATGCCTGACTTTCACGCACAATTGAATCGACATGCATGAAAATAAAGCAGAGGAAATGAGACGATTTTCGTGAAGAAAACGCTGCTTTTCCTCTTCAAAAATCAATAATGCGTCTCGTAAAGAATGGAAAAACAATACGACATATGTCAATTGTCTCGACGACATGAAATGGTGAGAAACGAGAAGAATATATTGTTGAAAGCTATTCTGCAGTTTTGATATGGGTTTTCGATCATTGGTGCTTGAAGTTTCCAAAAAAAGGAAAAATCCTGATAAGATAAAGTCATTAGGAATATTGGAAACTGGTTTTATAATCGGATGAAGAGATGATCTGTTTTTTTGAGCGCCTTCGTTTGCTTAAAGGCTGCAGAAAGCTTCAAATCGTCTAAGAAATAGAATTCTGCAAAATTTCGTAAAAATCTAGGAGATTCAGGTCCAGCTGAGAATAGTTACCACCCGAAGCTGTCAAGGCAGTAGAGCAGAGCCAGTGAATCAGAGTGAGAGAGGCGGGGGGGGGGGGGAGCACCCCGACCTCGCGGACTCTTCAAATTGTTCAAACTTCTGTGATCGCGTTCGAAGATCACGCCCCAGCAATCGTTTCAGTAAACAATGAGTTTCTAGCGTCAGACAAAGTGTTTTCAACACAAAAAGTCCAGCTGCATAAAAAAAACTTCTGCAAAAACTCGTGAAAAACAACTTACTGTCTCCAAGGCTAACGTTCGAAATGTTTCTGTTACGTTCGTCTAGTCCACCGTTCGTTCTGAAAGGTTTTCATTACTCCAGTTCAAAAAATTAGAGAAAAAGGATTGTTTCATTAACGCAGGCAATGCATAACGCTGCGTACATTGCTGCAGCGCGGTCACGCGATGCCTTTGAGTCGCACAAAGCGATTCAAAGGCGCCGCGCGCCATCGTAAGTTTATATTTTAACAGTATCTATTCATAAGTAGTAAATATTTATAAATGACGTACTCTGCCACATTTTCGCCAGTAGTTCCGATTACAGCAGCATCATTTGCCGGCGGCGCTGCTTTTCCTTTTTTAAGTTTCTCATCATCCATCGTTAGACTTTTCCACCACGATGTAGTCTTTCTGGAATGAAATTATTTTTGGTCTGATATATTAGAAACCCTATTCTCGTTTTTCAGATATTTTTTCTTTTTCTTTCGCAGCTGCTTTCGCCACTTTCTTGGAAAATTCCGACGTCAGTTCCACGTCTGGGTTGCTTAAAATCCAATATCACACGCTAGATTTAGGGCTTGAAGTCTTATAATTTTCTCATGGCTTGTGATATTTTTCTTGTTAACGCGGAAGAACATTTAGAGGGCATTTGTGCCATCCTCACTATGTAGTACATATTTTGAACCTGACAGCTGTTTTTTTAGAACTTTAACGAGTGAGACAGCTGACATTTACTGAAATTATTGACTTTTGAATTATTGTTGCCAGAAATTGATTGAAATGCTTAAGCTTTGCTTGTGGATGGTAGAAGAACTCAAATGGAGGATGAATTTTAAATCAAAACTCACTTGGAGTATGGTTTTTTTTTTGGAGTTAGTACAGTCGCTCTAGATGTTTTTTAAGTTAGAAATGTTTTATATCTATCGTTTCAAATCATTGTTTATACATTAAGATTACTAGTACCTTTCTAATTGTGTCAGCACAATTTCTGCTCTGACTAATATCAATGAAAATAATTTCAAAAATAATCCTTAGGTTATCTACAGATTCTCTCAGCCGCACGAATATTACAGTTCTCTATACACTCTTCGTTCTTTCTGGATCTAAATCCTATGGTTTTTCTTATGTAGCTGAAATGTAGTATCAGAAAAAAATAGAGTAATTTTATATGTATAAGTGAATAAGAGATGAAGTTTTTGGGTATAAAATAATGATATAAAATTAATTTCAAAAACTGATAAGAGTCAGGTTATCAGATTACCTCGACTGTATGAATATGACAGTCTTGATTGTTTTCCTTCTCTATTACATTCCTTTTTTTCTGTATTCAACTATTATAGTTTTTCTCGTGGGGGCATTTAATATATAGGAAAATTTAATTGAAAAAGTAACCCGGATAAATGAAAAGTGGATAAAATGTTTTTGAGAAAAAAGAAGAGAAAACAGGATTCTCTTGTGCAATTTTTACAGTTGCACGGGTCGCGAGCAAATTTTTTTGGATGTATCGACAAGCCGAAAGATAGTGATAGAGTACTTTAGAGGGTTGAACCCTAGATTTTCAAGAATTTCTTCAGCGGACATACCTTTTTTGCAAAGAAAAAAAAAAGACTAGCTGTAATTCAGAGGCGAATGATCATGGCAGAAACAGTAGAATATAATAAATTAGATTTAAAATCTAATAATACTAGCAGAATATCCTTAGTTCCGCCGAACTAATCGCCAGCCTGCAAACTCAGCAGCAGCAGTTGGATGTCAAAAGTTGAAACGCATGTACGACGGCGACACTTTTTACGATGCGCCCGGTTATCCACGGCGGTTCGCGTTTCTCCAAGGGCACTTTTCTAAGTTTTGCACTTTCAATAATTTGTCTTTCTTATTCTGAAGGGCCTTAAGTGGGTTTTGCTGTGTTTTTCTCAGTAAACCTATAATCTCCAGGCAGAAAGGCTTATTTTCTTTGCAGGAAAATTATCCAATCAACCCTGGAAGACTGCAAACTAATTTTTTCAAAGACTTAGCTTTGGAACCGATAAGTCATGCTTCAAGTTATTGCTTTACAAAGATACATTTGCTTTCCATCTAGCTGTGTAATATTCTAAAATTTGTATTTTCGGACTTGTTGGTCCTACTGCGAAGGAAAAAACACCTAATTCAGCCTTGAATTCCGAATAACTACATTTCCTAGACTACTATCTCCTAAATTGCCCCAGCAAAGCTTTCTGTCCCATTACCAGACTAATATTTTTTTCTAAATTCAATCCTGTCTGAGCATTGTAGCGAGCTATGGTTTACGAACAGCTACCTACATATATTATTCCTCAGAAATTTTATTTGAAATTACTTCTGAATGCAGCTTCTGTCATTTGCTGTTGCTCAGGGCTTTTAAAGTGTACTTACCCAATTTTGTGGGAGATATAAACAGGGCTCGGCACGAGGTGGCTAGATGAAAATGGAAAAAACGAAGTCCCCCTTGACTTTTGGGAATTTTTACGAAGTCCCCTTTGACCCTCAACCAAATTTCCTCTAACCTGAAAAATTCCCCAAAATCCCCCAAAAAACGAAACGTCCCCTAAAAAAAACTTCGCCAAGTCGCCATTTTTGCGTCTCTCTTCGGTCACAAAAACGGAACCCTTTTTGCTTTTCGTCCAAAAAAAACGATACCAACTGGCTTACAAGCCACCTGTGACGAGCCCTATATAAAATATAGTGTACTTAAATATTATTAGGCTTCTTTAGTCTTAAAATAGAAAAATAACTTGAAACCTGGTGCAAATAATATAACTCTTTTAAAATTGCATAGATTCTACGATCTAAAGCCTTTTGATTTTCAGATTATATTTGATTTTGAGCCTTGATTATTCAGAACTAGCCAAACTTACAGCAAATGGTATCGGTTAGACCAAAAAGTGAAAAGTCATGCAAAGTCTTTGCCGTCTTTTAGTAAAGTCTTGAATTGAAAAGAAGAATTTATACGCATAAGTATCTCAGTTTTGCTCACGCACGAAAAACTAGCATTACCACTCATATCTTGCAGAACAGTGCAGAACTTGTAAACAACTGTAAATTTCAGCGAACCAATTGTGCTTGAGTGGAGGAATAAAAAGAGTTTGTCATATTCTCTGTTAATGTTCTCTTCAAGTAGAAAATATTTACATTATCCTCCAGTTCTGTTTTATGCCGCCCACGTCATAAAAAAGCGTCAATTTTACTGTGTCGAAAGTTGCGCGAAAATTAGTGCAAAGATTGACTAACCACTTTAAATCTTCTTCTTCTTTGAAAATGAGTTTAATTGAAATTTTGACAGCAAAAGAGACCTCAGGAAATTCCCCGCAAAAATTCAATTGTGTCTTAGTAGATCGGATTCAATCAAGCTTTCCGGTAAGAAGAATAAAACGAGCCAATCTGGAACATGGAGTAGGAAAGCTAAACTGTCCTGAGTCTTCTTCTATAATTTTTTGAACACTTCTTTCAAGTTAGGATCCAGTCAAGGAATCAAAAATAAAATCTTAAGGAAAAATTATGTAAGCAAGTGAATCACCATAAAAACAAAAACCATACTAGAAGCATATTTTAGGATTTCTGTTTGTTCGACTTTGTGACTTACAGGCACATATGATGTGATTAGAGGACTCGATTCAAGTCAAATACGAAATATATTGATTCTTTTAGCATTGCTGATGTTGAGCGAGCTAAAATTTGCTAGCATTTATAATGGCATGGAAATGGCATCATAAATCTTTCAAATACTAAGTGGCTTTCATTTCTTTTTCAAAAATGCGTTACATTCGTAAACGCTCGATGTGCACGCCGTTGACTATATTCTAAATCATTATTTCTTTATTCATGTGGTGCAACTAGGCGTGAAAAATGCCTTGTTTGCACAAGCATGGGATTTTACGTCAAAATAAGTGCAAATTTTCTTTCCTCATTTCCTATGGTGCAAATTTTTACGCGTTAATCATATTTTCTTGCACTTTTATTTGCTTCAACCATAGTAGAGGCAATGGGGAAAATGGTAAGGACTGGTCCCAGATGAAGGCGGCCCCCCATGTAAGCGAAGCGTGCGCGGGCGTACGAGCTGTAATGATCAAAAATGCTCTAAAGCGTGTTCGCACCTTTTTCGCAAAGTAAACAACCACCTTCATAAGGGAATTGCCTCTAAAGTGATAAACATTCCATTTTTTCGGGTAGTGGAGTATATGTCGCCGAAGGGAGGGTCGCGGACAATGCAGCAGATATTCAGCCTGTACATGTATGGGGATGTGTATTTGTTGCAGATGTCCGGTGGGACCTCCCACTGTTAATGACAGTTATTCATTTCTTGCATAGGCTAGGAATTTTTTTTGGGAAGGTATGTTTTCTTGGCAAAAACTCTTACTTCTTTTCTTTTTGATCAAAAGACATTTTTGAGAGGTCTTTCACGAAAGTTAGAAGCCACTTGTATTTATAGTAACGTTATTAGTGAACCAGTAATTTGAAGGTGCTATTTGAAATAGCGTTCGCTTCGGGACCCGCCGCGGTTTCCCGCTATTGGAATATTCTTGAATTGAGCTCACGATTCTTCATATATTAGATTGGATTTTACAAACCACAATCTTTCATCTTATTCAAGCCCAAAAGGAGTAAACGGAAAGAGATGTTAGACAATTTTATAATTTTTGTCAACTCAAATAGTTTTCTTGTCTATGCAGATTAAAGAGAATTAAAAATGCTTTCAAATTCACAAAAAATGATTATTTGAACAGGACAAACGCTTCAAGTAGGTTTTAGCAAGGTAGACAAACATCGTGAAAGAGTATCCAAAAAAGAAAATTGCAGGAAATTCTGGATAAATGTGGGAGAGAATAATATGCAGCCTATGATGTGGTATCGTAGGCGAAGACCATGCATCGTGCAAGCAATTAAGTCGTTGATTGAGCCGCGATTTGAATGATTCATATGATTTTTTGAACAGCGATGAGAAGAAATATTCAAATGTTATTTTAAGAAACACTGTTGGCTGTTTTCGTGTGATTTTGAACGTTTTACGGGCAAGAGAAATGGTCATTTCAAGAGAAACAATGAGTCATTTGGAGTGTAGTGTAAAAATATTTTCTCGAAATTAGTCGAAAATTTTGTGGCAAATCGTCTGACTCTGCACAAAATCTAATTTGTAATTATAATGTATGATTTATCTAGGAAAAGCTTATCAAATTCACTAATGGCAGGAAAACTATGACTATTGGACAAACTGCTGAATGAACAACTACTTTGTAAATTCCACTTCAGTGAATATGAACGCGAGATGTTTTTGCTCTTAACGATTTCTGAATCAAAAACTCTTGGTAGTCGTGAAGTAACGTATTCGCACATCGAACACTTTTCAGGCTTTTTGATTCACTAAGTCATCGAAGTATCAATCCTTTCGTCATTTGTAACCTAATGTGTGAATCTGCACAATATGCGCGGCAGCCGACGACATTCTTACTATCTACTTAATTCCTCAGTTAAACCTTTCTAGCGTAACAAACTGTAGAAATGTGCACTAATAATCAATACATATTCATTCAGCTCAAACATGACAAGGAGACAAAGCGGAAATTACTGTTAATGAGCAGTTTTTAATCCAAGTCGTCAAGTTGCGCGCATGTTGTGCAATACACATATTTTACAATTGACTAGACGATATGCTTTGGTACTTCTGACCTTTTTGTTACAAAATGATTCTTGCAAGTGCTATTAGTGATACAATTCCGTGAGCTTTACGATATCATCTCTGCTCACGATTTTCATCAAAAACAACAAATTCGCGAGGTCATTGTTTCTTCCTTTTTTGTAAATTTTCGCGTCACAACTCAATATATCACATTTCTCACTACTTTAGCAAAAGACTTTCCAACTAGAAGCTTCAATTCGAAGATTTAAGTTTGAGTGAATTTTTGTTTCTCTATTCATTTGCTTATTCCGCACAAAGAAAAATCTTGCTCCAAAGTAAAAAGCAAAGCAACTTGCCAAAGCACACCTATGATGGACTTATGGCGTGGCTAGGCTAGACGAAAAGCTATGAAAATTTAACAAAGTTGATGAAACGGCTATTTGACGAAAATTGCTTCTAACAAAATTGATAAGGTAATCTAATAGCCAATGCCAAGTATTACAAAGCACTAACAAGCACAGTAATCTCGGCCACCATGAACAGTAATGACTTGAAAAAATTCTATAGTAGATTAGAGCTTTGTACTCAGTGCTAAGTTCTGATAAGAAAAAGTTGGTCTCAATTTTACTCCGTGATTTTTATTCCCTTTTTGATTTCTTTGCTTTTCTGGTGAACAGGCGAATAAGGAAATGATATTCTAACCATCAGGTTATCCCATTGCAAGATAAAAAGTGGCATGTTTTGTATCGACTCTGATCTCGAGGAGTATTTGGCAAAATTGTGAATTACGATGAAAAATGCTAGAAAAATTACTAAAATTCAAATTCAAAATTGGCTACGTCAGTTTAATGGGAGCTATTCAGCGACTTTTTCAGAATTTGTAAAAGCTTGTTTTCGAATGAATTGGAAAAGAAAAAAACGTGTTTTCGTTATAACCCTTCTCAGAATCTGTAAAGAAAAGCTTGTTTTTTGTGACAACCCTTTTTTAGAACTTGTAAAGAAAAAAGGTTCTTTCGTGATAACTTTAGTCTTGAGAAAAATCCTAACAAAAATTGTAAATTGAGATCTCAAAATGCAAGAAAAACTGCTCTTATTTGGTGAGCGCTTTTCAGAAATCAATGTAAGAATTTCGCTGTGATAAATAGTATTTTAGTGGAGAAACTCAGTCGATATATTTTTTTTCAAACTGATAGTAGCCAGGTACTAATCAGCTTACCGTGTAAACTTGCTAATTGAAAATTGCCGGAGCCAAGAGTTTCCTCTGAAAACGATCGAATAAGAAGATGATCAGCTTATATTTGTGAATCCTTTTTATAGTAATAATTTCCTTATCACTCAATTTGGTAAGATATCGAGAGTTTTTCTGATCACATGCTTTGCATATGTCTGCTTTTTAGTTACAGAATTTGCCGTCAGGGTGCGTCATAAAAGTTATGTCCGGTCATGAGTTGTTGTCTGTACAAAAACAGAGAATTATGTGATATTTTGCAAATTTCAGTTCAGATATCAGAAATGCTTTGTCATCAATGAAACCATGCATAACATTCGTTGCGACGGTGCGGTTCTAATTGTCTGCGTATCTTCAAAACATGTTCACTCTCTGCGACTCGGAGGCGTCCAAACTGCGCCGCCGCGGCAGACAAAAATCATGCATGTTTGATTGATGACAAAGTTTTATTTGCTCTGCAACCTCCACCTGTTATTTTTTTTTCGGAAATTCTCTCATTCTTGCTTTTTTTGTTTTGAGATTTTTTAGGGGTTTTTCAAAAACACCATTACCAATTTGAGTATATTGCGCAAGTTTAAGCTGCATTAACGCATGTTGGAATTTTTCCAAAAACAGCTGGAATAAATTCTAAGAAAGTCAGAAATCGGTTTTTTGCATGTGACATGTATAGATTGATGATTACAATTCTCAGTGACTTGAAAATGTGAAAAATTATTTGAGAAAGTTATAAAGATTTTTTTTACTTTGGGTGTAGCAAAATTTATGTTACGATCTAATATTTTGAAATCACACAAATTTGATATTGAGTTCTGAGCTTAAAGGGACTATTCATGAAAGATAGACATCTTACTGAACAAATGCTTACTTTCAAAATCTTATAACGTGCTAAATAAACCCTTGCGATCACTTTCTATCATGACACTTCTAAATCTCTGATTTAATGACCAATAAAATTTACGCGAGAGATACATAACTACTGGAATGTTCAATAAATGTCAGAAGTCATTACCCGAGCGCTTACTGATGTTTCCATTAAGAATTTGATTAGCTATTCAAGTTTTTGCAAACTACCCAATGCAAAACAAGAAAAATCTACCCTTTTTGCGCCTAATCCGATTAGTGATTACTGTAACAGACCTCATGACTGGTTACTGTAGAATTTGACTATGGCGCATTGATTTTTTCATTATTTATTTCTTTATTTATTTATTAATTTATTATTCATCCGGAAAGCGAGGAACATCCTTGTGATTTAAATAGGTTCTGTTCCTTCTTAATATAATTCTCCTTTTTCGAGACACCACCCCTGGTCGTAAATTAAATTCCATAGCTTCTCATCTGCTTTTTGCTTTGACAGAACAATGATAGCAGCTTAATTGAGTCCTAGTTTGGAAAAAGTGTTCTTAACCCAATAATATTTGTGCTTTATCAGATATTGTATTCTAGTGTTTATAACTTAGCTCAAATTGCCGAAGTTGAGACTGTAGTCCGAAATTTTTGCATAGAATTTTTTACCAGCTTTTTGATTGGCCCCTTTCTTCTAAAAAATCCGAAATTCACGAAATTCTGCAGTTTGAAAACCCAAAACTCTTTTTCCGAACTATACAGCTCAATTTGATGATGAAGTGCGTCAAAAATCAGTAGACAGTTGATGTCAGATTATTACTTCTTAGAAAAACTCCTTTATCAAACTGTCTATTGTCAGGAAACGAATGTTTTTTGCATGAAACTTTTTGCTTGTTTTCCAGCCAACTCCACCGCAATTACCCTAGAAGATTACTATTATTGGAAAATGGGCGGGGGGGGGATGGAATTTTTGTATATAAATCTCATTATTGAGTCGTTAGCCTTAGTAATGGTTTAAGTAATGGTTTATGGCATCGTTACGAGAGTGATTTCGCGACCTAAGATGACGACCTCATTTTCGCTTTATGGGACGATTTCCATTTTCTTAGGGGCGCGGTTTGTGCAATTACCCTATTAGGACAGAGGTAAAATCGTCTTTAGCAAAATTTGCGAAGCAGATGGTTTTTAGAATGTTGAAGGAAGGTTTATGAACATTTAAAATTATACTGAGGGTTTGATAACAGATTATAATGAAAGTCGTGTAAATGCGACAAATTTTGCAAAAAACTAACTTTTAAGGTGTTGTAAAGCAGTGAAAACAATGTAGTCAGATTATATTGATGTATGGTGTGATATAATACAGATATGGGATTAGAATTGAGCGGCCGACTACGGCGCAGCGCATCTCCCTATCGTTAAGAGATCGTCACATCGCAAAACAGACAACTCGCATTAATCACGGCCGCCACCCGATTGGGTTATGCAATCTCAGCGCTGTTTGTTAATTCATACTGTCTGTTACTAGATTTCGTTACTAGAGTTAAAGAAGTAGATTTCGTTACTAGAGTTAAAAACACCGTTCACCCAAATTGAGGGTGATTATAATGCGACATAATGGTGGGGCACCTAGCTAAGCAACTGCTCAAGTCCCTTTGCAAAATATGAATTCCGAAGCGAGAAAATTGCTCCAGAAGGGAGTACCGGCTAAGGTGGCTCCGCCCATCTACGTGGGTGGTCTGAAAATAATAAGCCCAAGTTGGGTTTTAATCTATTTAGAATTGTCGTAATGTCGCTCTACATTATGATTACAAGATTTTCGAATATCTCATCTAAACCGCACCCCATGTTGATGGGCGGGGCTACCTTGGCCGCTTCTACCTTGTGGAGCAATTTTCTCGCGTTGGAATTCGTCTTTTGCAGCGGGACTTGGGCGGTTACTTAGTTAGGGGCTTCGCTATTACATAGCATCAAAAAGTTAACATACTCAATCTGGTGGACGGTGCCTTCAAGCTGATAGTCAAAGATGAATCAGTAGAGATCAAAGATCACGTACTTCTCCGGTGGTGGAGTGTCCGGCGTCTCGAACACCACTACGCTAGTCCTTTTCGGAGGTGGAGCACCTTTAACCGGTTCGACCGAGCTGACTCTTCGTCCGCTGCGAAGATTTTCAGCTCCACCCGAAGCCGGGGCTCCTTGTCCAGTCTCTGCGGCACTTTCCTCGACCATCCTTGGCGGCACTGCAGAGGCTGCCGGAGGAGGAGGTGGTGGTGACACTTCGGCCGCCGCTGGAGGCGTTTCTTTTAGCTCAACTTCACGGTCGCCCATTTAAGGCACCAAGTCTGCGAATACACAATTGTTAGTGCATCGAACGGCGGAAGACGACGGAAGTGATCACGGTAGCGCAAAAACACGACATTCAAGCTGTGAGGTTATCACAACAAGATCTGGAAAGCAGTGAAAAGTCTCCATTAGAGAGATGATAAGATGCTACAATGTAATTATCTGCCGCACTTTCGAGTTACTTTGCCTCAAAAATATTGGAAGAATGCATTACAAAGAGATCAAATGCTACAAAACTACAATAGTTTAGTGCTAAAGTTTTAGATGAATCGACACAAGTACTTGCGTATTTTTCTCACTGAACTCGAAAAGGAACATTAATGCTGCAGTATGTCTATAGGTCTATCCTACTCGATCTCTTTTCAGAATTATACTTCTGCAAAAGCAGTGAAAAAACTTGGCAAGAAGCTGGATGATTTGCACGTTTTCCCTATAAAGCTCCAGGAATTGAACCACAACAATATTTTTAGCAGAAGAGATAATAAGCGAGGCAATTTGTTAGAATTTTTCTTGTTACATGGCTGAAGTAGAAAATTAGCGCTATAGAATGTCTATGCTGTTTATATTTATATTTATATTTCTTCTCGAAATTGCTTTCGCAAGCCATGGCTAAAGAACTTGGCAAGAAGCCAATATACGCGATTTCATTCAAAAAGGCTCCAGAAATTCAATAATTTTTTTGACAAAAGGGATGCCAAGAAGTCAGGTTCACTGCGCGAAGTTGTAAAGCAGCGTTTTTTCCTAAAATGATTGAATCCAAATAGATTTCGAAAAATGAAAGTCAAATGGAAAAATGTAACTCTTTTAGACGATTGAAATTCTTGAACCACAAGAAAGTTATCAGAGGCGTAAATCATTCAGCTAAAGCTCTATAAAAGCTCTTCTCGACTAATTTATTACGAACGGAAAAGCAAAGTTTGAAAGCTTTTGAGCTGAAATTCTGCAAGAGGAAGGGAAATAGATGGTAGTTCTTTTCTTTCGGCGACCTTCTCAAAACATTGCTGTTTATGCATTTAAACAAAAGTGCAAATTCCTTCAAAAACAGGATCTTCCAAATCAATGGCTAGATATCAAGGCAGGTGTTTCACATATTGAAAGTTTGCAAATTTTTCAGCGAAGTTACTATAACTGTGCAATACTAAATAGTTGGTGTAGGCAACTGTTGAGCTGGTGAGCACAACGGAGTGAATAAATACGGTTAGTTTTCAACTGCCTGCCTTCCTCTTACTTATCATAATCTGTTTGATATGCACCTAATGTTGCCGAAAGTTTGTGAATTTCAAATAACAATTGATTGATGCGAGAAGAGACCACAAGAACTAAACCGAAAATTGAATCTGGATTTGTAAACCCATGAGATGAGACTCTGATTTAAATTTGCGTCATTATCTTCTTGGTGGTTTGGCTCTTTGTGCATTTATTCCAGAGAGTTTCTCTTTTTTCTTCTAAAAAACTTATAACTACTGATGTTGGCAAAAATTTGGCATATTTGGCTAAGCGAGGCCTTTTTTAGCTTATTAGTCTTACGATTTTTACAACAGTCAATTTGCAAATATAGTTTTGCTCTTCATTACAAATTTTCAGTGCAGCACCTCAGGATACTGTAAAGTTACGATACAGCGAATTTTCTCACCAACATTCAAATAAAAATGGTTAATGTTTTCAAAAAAATTTTTTTTGGTCAAGCGTGATCTTCTTATTAGTCTTATGATTTTTATAGCAATCAATTCCCAAACAATATTTGGCTACTTATCATAGTTACTGTACAAGGGAATTTATATTTATAAGAGAATGTCAAGAACCGAAGAAATATGGAAATTTTTTTGCAAATTCAAACAAATAGATAGCTTATTATCAATATTATTTACCTATTCTAGTATTTACTCTAAAGCTCAATAGCAAGTTCAGCAAGTTATCAATTTAAATTGCTTTTACAGTAATTCTACATTAGGGCACTGGAGTGCATGAAGAAATATTTACTTACGAGGCGTATTTGGAACTAGTAAAGTAGAAGCAAAATTTTAAAATAGTAAAAGATAGTAAAATTTTCCGAAATACTTTTCCTTTCCTTCACCCTCACACCTTCTTTACCATCGCATTGTCATAAATCGATTTTGTTACACCTGCCTTGGACTTTAATTATTCCCAGAAAGTTCTTTATATAGCTATGCCCTTAGGAGGAATCAACCTGTACTAGACATCATTAAAAAGCAAGAATGAGAAAATCAAAAGAAATGCAGAACAAGCCAGATCAAGCTGAGTTGGAGCATTTATTGTGCAGCTAACTCGACAATGGATAAGTAGTCGTTTGATTAACTACCCAGATAAAAGCTTTTATAGAGCAATAGCTTGATAATTTACGCCCCCCATTGAGTTTCTCGCATTTGCGCAAATTTACGAATGCCTTAGAAACTTGCATTCAAAAAGCAAGCGCTATTTCTTGAGTAATACTTTAATCTTCCTCATCTTGCTGGTAAAGAAGAGTCATAATATTAGCGACTCTCATAATCTCCTTTAGGCCCTATAGCGGCGTCCAGAGTCCCCCCTGTAACTCGCTGTGTCAAGGCTGTTCCAGCGCAGTGTCAACGCAATATCAGCGCCATGCTGGCCCCATGCCGGGACTGTGCACGATGTCCTATATTGAGATAGATGTTCCGGCACGGCACTTGCACGGCGCTGGCACGAGAAACTTTGGTCCCAGCTTATGCTACACCTTCATTTTCCAAAATTCACCAAAAATATTGTCCATTCTTGAGTCATATCAGGTTTTTATAGTCATTCCTTCCTTTCAATGTTTGCCTTATTCAAAATCGTGGTGCTCGTCCCTGACTGACAATCTTTTTCGGCGTAGGCGAAGAATAGAGGTTTGGTAAAAAGCCCTAATCCAGTCAATAACATAACACTTCCCATAATCACTATACGGGTTTTTTTGCTGGCACAAAGAACGCTGTAGCATTTACATCTACTTGACCTAATCTCAATCATATGTAGTCATTGTTCATCAGGTATTTTTAGGATCGATTTAGCGGAATTTTGTTGATGGTTTTCTCTTTTAGCGGTATTTTCGTGTCTGTGAGTTAAATTTCGAATTATCGTTCATTCACATTGTCAAAGATATCGAAGAGCCGAAAGTACTCATAGAAACATATTATGAGGGTGGGGAGAAGGACTGGAGAAACAGCATGACGTGATTGTATCCCAGTAATATGTTTATTGAAAGCTGAGCATTTGTCTCAAAGGTATATCTATTTTTAGATTGTTACAGATTCGACTGTCATTATTTTATCAAAATACAGCTAAATTCTCAAAGTGCTGCGATAAGGTCTACCCTTCTTCTTTCCCTGTACCTTCTTATAATAAAGCTTTTTCAGAGATTAGGCGATATCTCGCAAAGGCAGCACATAATGGGTTAGTTTCATTTAGTAAGTTTGCATAATACAGTTTTGCCTATTCCAATCACCAAAGTATAGCAAAACATTTTTTCTTTGCTTTGATATTAGTGCTTTTGTAGCATTCCCTAATTACCTGGATTGAATATCTGATTCTTCTTTTCCACTGATGAAAGAGAGATGTAATTCCAATAAACCCAAGACAATTATGTGTGTTAACAAATATGTTTCTTTTTCAGTGGTATTCGGTGTCATCAAAGATTCCAGATTGCATAGAGAATAGTAAAAATTTATATTTATTAACATGCTTTTCACATTACCATTTATAGAAGTATATAACCATTTAGGAAAACTTTGTAACTTTGTGAGAAGACGATAAATTTCTGAAAATTCGGTTATGTAACCAAATGATACTCATTAGAATGCTCACCAATATTGAGTTTATTTTTAACGAATTCAAGAGGACAGGTTCAAAAAGGCCAAAGACATCCTAACATATTTATGTAAGCGTCAATGTGGAATTCTAAATTTTGACGACCATACTCCCATAAAAATTCCAATCCGTTATTCAGATAATACTTAAAACAAATAAATTTCTAATTATTAGGTTGATGCAAAAGAAATGGCCGATTTTCCAAGCCTTTTTTCAGGGCAACTTTTTTCCATCAATGCTTCTTCTTTACAATGGATGTAGTATATTGTCGCAAAGCTGTTTTCATGCTCTATCTAACGGTGCTTGAAACGGGCTCTCATCCTCATTTCTTATAAAGTTACTAAGCTGTAAATAACTGCATCCAAATTCAGAATTTCTTTGCACTCACTTTTCGGCCAGAATTCAAGCGCGTATCAATGGGATTTCTTCAAAAATTTAGCTATTGTATGTAATAGAAATTTTCTACATTATGCATACTTAACTGCATTCTTCAAAGCTATCCAGACTGAGATATCGGAGCCTAAATATGGGTAGCTGTTGCGGTCATTTTATGACCCATAATTTTCTTTTGAGGAAGTCAGTCGCCAAAGCTTTGCTCAATTCTGTAAGCGTAGAGCTAGGACATTTATTAGCAGTTTTTGCAAAAACATCCAGCTGTTCAGTACGAAGAAAATCAGAAAATTCTATATTCCGGACCTTGAGGCACACTGAAAAAATGTTGAAAAAACTGAGAAATTTTAAATTTCAATTTTTTCTTTCTCGCAAACTTTTTTGTTTGAATTCTTTTTAATGTGTTTTGTACTTCTGACTTGCGGCTACAAGATAGGCCACTTTTCATTCATACTAAGAAACTCTGAAGGAAGTTATGAATTGTCAAAAACAAGGTTCCCTCAGAAGAACCTTTTTTGTCTTTTAGTCCGTATTTCTCTTCCCGTTCATGGTTTGAGTATAACTAAGTATGCGCTGTATTGCGAAAGGATTGCTGCTTCTGGAGGTCTTTACCGCATTCAGAAATGTGGATCTTTCAGAAAGTTATAGCACATCAAAGTGAGAATTCGCAAATCGGCCATTCCTTTTGCATCAACCTAATACTATTTCTCTCCTATCACTAAACATTTCCGCGAAATGTTTTTGGTTTTTATCCTCGGTAAGAAATGAAGGAAAAAACAATTTGTTGCTCAC